TCAGTATCAGTGCTCTCCTAAGCCATACTGGAAGTTAAGGCAAAAGGAACAATCAGTAATGCTGATCCTGTCTTTAAGATTTTGATATTTTGTTCATCATGATTTTTTAAAAAAATTTTTATTGTGCTTTAGGTGAAAGTTTATAGAGAAAATTAGTTTCCCATTTGATAGTTTGTACATAAAGTGTTCCATGACATTGGTTGGATTCCCCTACCTCAATGTGTCAACATTCTTCCATTTCCAATCTGGGTTCCCCTTTTCATTTCTTCCAGGTTTTCTACCCCTTCCTACCTTTTCTTCTTTGCTTTTGGGCAAATGTTGTCCTTTTGAGCTTGTGTAATTGATTGTTCTAAGGAACACATTCCTCATGGGTGTTATTTTTTATTTTATGGACCTCTCTATTTGGCTGAAAGGTGATCTCCAGGAATGGCTTCAGTTCCGGTTTAGAAGAATGTTGTCTTAGGCTGGGTTCTCTAGAGAAGCAAAAGCAGTAAAGTGTATAAATATAGAGAGAGATTATATCAAGGAAACAGCTCACATGATTGTAGAGGCTAGAACGTCCCAAGTCCGTGGGTAGAGGCCTCTCCCAAGTCACACAGCTGCAGAAGCTGGCAAGCCCAAGATCGGCAGGTTGGAGAGCAGGGCTCCCGCTCACGGGCTGTGCAGATCAACAAATCCCAGGTTCAGCAGATAAGCTGACAGCTCAAGTCCCAAGAATGGGAGATGAGATGACAGGAAGCAGCTGCAGGATCCAGAGAGAGCAAAAAGCCAGAATGTCTGCTTATACATGGATGCAGGCCACACCTCCAAGGAGACTCCCTTTCATCTGATTGGCTACTCACAGTATAGTCATTCATGGGAGTGATTACATTAAAACACTGAGAATCATGGCCCAGCCAAGTTGACACACAATCTTAACCATCACAGGTGTCTTAGGGCCATAGTCTTGGGGGTTCCTCCAGTCTCTGTCAGACCAGTTTAAGTCTGTTCTTTTTTGTGAATTTGATTTTTTGTTTTACATTTTTCTCCCACTCTCTCTGGGACCCTCTGTTGTGATACCAGTCAGAGTAGTCAGTGTGGTAGCTGAGCACCATCTAGTTCTTCTGGTCTTGGGATTGTGTAGGCTGTGGTTCATATGGTCTGTTAGTCTTTTGGACTAACTGCTCCCTTGAGTTTTTCGTTTTCTTCACTCTCCTTTGCTCCAAATGGGAAGAGACCAATAGTTGTATCTTAGAGAGCCGCCTGCAAGCTTTTAAGACCCCAGACATTACTCACCAAAGTAGGATGCAGAACACTGTCTTTATGAACTATGTTGTGCCAATTGATATAGGTGTCCCCAGAATCTATAGTCCTTCGCCTTCGAGCCTAGGAACTTCATCCCATGAGATGTTTGGTTATCTTTAAGAAGTTGCCCTGACTGTGGCCCTTGTGTGCTCTATTGGCTATATTAATATACATACAGCACCTACAATTATTTATGTAGAAATATCCACAACCATATTTATATCTTCATTTTTGCATTAATTTTTATTTTTTAAAACATGCATAAAAGTATTATTTATCTTGATGACTGAGTTTCTTAGTGCCCCCTTAAACTAACACTGACCTAACCCTAACCTTAACCCTAACCCTAACCCTAACCTTAACTTAACCCTAACCCCCTAGCCTGGTCCTAACTTAACCCTAACCCACAGTCTTACTTGCTGCTGAAAGCACTTTTGTGCCATCATCCAGGTCCACATAACTGGGGCCTGGCCTCTGACTGTTATCACTTCCCTGGTTTTATTTAATCTTTAAATATTTTTAATACTTTCCTTGGCCTTGATCTTCTGCCTGCCTATCTGATCATGTTGTAAGCACCTTTTGTGAACTGCCTGAAACCCTTTGTGGAGCCAGGGGAGGAGCAGGTTGGAGTCTGCATGTTTTCTAGCTCTGTCAGGCAGGGGGGTTGTGTCTTCCTGCCATGGAGTCCTTGGGCCAGGAGATTTGCTGTAACATCGTTTGGGTGAAAGGACAAGATTCTCTTGATTCCTCTGGTTTGTGAGCTGGTCCTGGGGTGGGTGTTACTTGGGCCCCTTGGTTGGGACTGTTTGGAACGCAGGTTCAGAGGCAGGGACTTCTGGAGGAAGCGGTATTGGGAGTTCTACCTCTGAGCCCGGAAGCCATCCGCTAGCAATAAGGACTCCCTTCTGGGTGGTTTAAGATCTGAGGGCTTAATCAACATGGGCTTCCTCCTCTTTGGGCAGCCAGGGTGTCCTGCCCTGTGGACCTGGGCTTGAACTCGGCCTTTTCTAGTGGCTTGAGCAAATCACTGGATCCCTTGAAGCCTCACTGTACTTACCAGTCTAAATGGGAGCAACACAGCAACTATCTAGCACTGGCATGAAAATTAAATGAGGTGCCTGCAAAGAAGCCCCAGCAGGAGGGCTCAATCACTGTGAACTTCTGGTCCTTTCTGGAAGATGTAGCACAGGCAACTTGGGCATATTCTGTAACCTTTTCTCACCCACAGAATTTTTTGGAGATGTGTTTGCGTTATATTCTCTCCCAGGTCCTTGGCCCTCAAATCTAGTTGGTCACCAAATGTTGCTTATTCTACCTCTTCAGTCTCCCCTTCTCTGTCCATCCCCAAGGCCCTGCCCCAGTCCAGCCCTAACTCCCCTCTGTGCCTCCCAGGTGTCTCCCTCCACCCCACACCGCACCTGCGCTGCCTTCATGGGCAGGTATCAGAGTCCAGGCTGCCCCCAATGAAGCCTTCAGCGCACACATTGGGCCCCTGTGCAGAACCTGTTGGTATTCAATATCTGGTCTTTTGTTCATTTTCTGCTGACACACAGCTCACTTCCCAGCCTCCACTGCTTTTAGATGTGACCCTGTGACCAGATTCTAGATCTGAGCAGAAATATTAGACGTGATTTCTGGTTTATTCCCTTGAAAGGAGCATGCCTGCCCCTTTCCTTTTCTCTCCTTCCTCCAGGCTGGAATGAAGATGTGGTGGCTGGAGCTGGGGTGGCCATCTTAGACCATGAGATAGAAGACATGTACTCAAGACTGCAGAGCAATGAAGAAGAAAGCCTGGGAGACCAGGAAATAGAAGAGAAGGAAGCTGGAGGCTCCCTGCCAGCCTCCACTTGGTCGTGGCTGTGTCCCCTACTAAGGCCACAGCCTTGACCAGCAGCTCCTCTCCCACACCTTATGCTTTCTTTGTCTGTGTTCCAATAACAACTTCCTCACGGGGTAACTGTTGCTAGTCCCAGGGCACTACACTGTCCCCATTGGTCCTTTAACTCTGCCCACACCTCACTAAAGAGCCTGTTTACTAAACTATCCTTGGGGAAATGCTTTTGAGGGGACTCTGTTTCTGGCAGGGACCCCGCTGAACACACCCCTTCACCCTGTGCTCTAGCTGTCCTGAAAGTCCCTCTCCACCTCCAAGGCCTTGCTGGAGTTCCCTCTGCTTAGAGTCCTTCCCTGCTGTCCCCCTTCTCCTGGCCGCCTCTGCTCATCTCTCAGCTCTTCCACAGAGCTTCCCCAGAAAGCTGTGCAGACCCGGCGGGGCCAATGCCCCTACGTGCTCTCATCATCGCTCCTGTCCTCCCCACCAGGCCTCTGTTGTGTAGGATTCGTGTCACTCTTCATCCACCTGCTCGTCACCAAATTCCCAGGGCAGAGCACAGAGCCCGGCAGAGCTCCGAAAAAGTCAGGAATGTTCACCGGGGAGGGATGAGAGCCAGCACACCTAGGACATCGGCTGTAGGTTTAATAAAGGGAGGTTGCAGGGAGGCGGCTGGATGCAGCTGGATGTCAGTAGACTGTTACGCCTCGAGAGAAAGGACAACGTTCTCTTCTGTCCATGCGTGAGAGGGGGGATCCGCCCAGGGCTGGGCCCTCAGTGAGGGCAGAGGCTAACTCTGGTCACCTACACCGACTGGCTACATATTTGCAGAGCCCAGAGCAAGATGTGATGTTGGGCCCCTTATTCAAAAATATTAAGAATTCCAAGGCAGCAACAGCAGAGCATTAAAGCCAACGTGGACCCTTCTAAGTGCAGGGCCCTGTGGAGTGCTGGCCGCATGCCCTAGAAGCCAGCTCTGCACCCCTGCCCCCAGTGCCTAGCTCAATGCCTGGCCAGGAAGCATTCCCTCACTCATTCCTTCATTAACCACATGTCTGCTGGGCACCCACGGGGAACCAGAAGGGGTCCTGGCACTGAGGACACCCTTCTGGAGCCCAGGTTCCAGTGGGCAGAGCCAGTAACCAAATGAGCACACGAAACATTCAGCATTTCATTTCAGATGCAACAAGCAGGACAGGGGAGGGGTGGTCACGTGGGGGACGGAGATAAGGTGGTCAGGCCAAGCGCAGGGAGAAGGGGCATCTGGCAGGGTCCTCAAAGAGGTGCGGGAGTGCCTGCAGGGGTGGGGAGAGTGAGAACGGGCAGTGGGGGAGGCAGGGCAGTGATGCCCCTTGTGGATGAGATGGAGCTGTTGGGGACTGTGAGCAGAGCAGGGACCTGGCCTGACTCATGGCTAACAGTGCCCCCTGGTGGCTGTCTGGGAACAGACTGAAGGGGGCAGGGACCTCTGAGGATGCTGTGCGTTGTCCAGGCAGGGGTGATGGGGACAGCTATGGGGGGGGCCAAAGAAGAGTGACTGGATTCTGGATGTATTCTGAAGGTAGTGCCAACAGGATTTGCTGATGGATCCATGTGGGGACAGGGTGGTGTTGGGGCCCCACAGCTTGTGATGGAGAGGCTGAGGGCGGAGATCAGGAGTTTGTTTCTGGACACCCACGTGGGCAGTTAAGGGAGTGTCATCCCAGTCTAGAGCTCATGGGCGGGCCTGGGTGTAGGTGCGAACGCTCCACCCCTTCCCAGAGCTGCAGAAGCCAGGAAAGTGAGCCTGAGGGAGAGCCTGGCCCAAGGGCCGGCCCCGAGTGACAACGAAGTGAGTGAGGCTTGCCCACGTGGGCTGGCTGGAGGACTGCCTGTGTCTGCTTTGGGTGACCAGCGCAGTGTGGGCAGCCAGCTGAGTCTCTCCACACTGCCTGGCAGAAGGCCTCTTGTTCTCTCTGCAGAGCGTGGTGTAGCCCAGGGTCCTGGCCCGTGGAGACAGACGGACAGACAGCACTCAGAAAACATCTGGTTTATTAGGATTAACTGTAGCATACATTGGTTCCTTTAATAGTTCTAAAGTGATAACATGGCCCCCACGCACAGCATATACGTAGGGATGTGGCAGAGCTGCAGTGACAATTACAAACTGGTAAATTGCTTGGGAAATCATGGTGATCTTAATAGGACTATGTTAGCAATCATCCGGAGAGAAAGAAGAGTGTGAGACAGCCCACGGGCCCTCGATGGGGTGCGGAGTGGGCCAGGTGGCCACCCACCTGCAGTGCTCTCAGGTGCCTTCCAGAAGCTTAGGGCTGCTACGGCGGAGGATGCTGCCTATCACACATCCCTGCAAAGAGTGGGGGTAGGATCCCCACAAAGCCCAGGCTGGGATCTCCACTGGTTGCAGGCAGCATCTTTCCCATACAGGCTTTTAGGCATGTATCCACTCCTGCATGGACAAGAGTACGCTGGGGGCCAACGGAAAGGTGCTGTGTTCATACCAGGGCTTGGGCCAACATCCCCATTACTGGGATCCTGCACCCAGATGGAACCAGGATTGGCTGCCTCTCTCTCCAAGGGCCCCTGGCCTTTGCCCTCCTCCTCCTCCTTCTCAAGGCCAGCAGGGTGTGACCTAGCACCGCTTCTAAAACCAGGTTCCTCTGCACAGCTCCGCTGGCCTCCTGAGAATGCTGAGGTGACTCCAGGCCAGATCCACACAGCCTGCAAGGAACGACACATCCCTGCAGTGACCCTGATGGCTTCAGACAGATGGCTACCCACTCAGTGGGGCATGGTGGACCAAGCCCTGCCCTTCTTCCAGCTTATATGAGACAGTCTGGATTTCAGATGATTTTCTTCTTTTTAATGTAGGTGGTTCTTTAACCAGACAAGTCAATGTGATGGAATGTGTCTGTGCCTCTGTAAGAGCTTAAGAACGTCATGCAGCTGAGGGTCCCTAGCTGACCCTGCTTGGGGTACTTTATGGGAAATGGCACTGCCGAGCTTAGGGGCGGCGGCTGTGGAGCCTGGGGCAGCGTTGTCACAGCTCCCGGGGAGCCTGTGGGACAAGGCTGAGCTCCGTGCCGGGTGGGCTGCAGATGGAGCTTCTGCCTCTCCTGGGCTGAGAAGCAGAAGCATCCAGCAGCTGCCCAGCTGCCCAGTGCGGCTGACCTCTCTCAATGCATCTTTTTTTACATTTTCTCCTCCAAAGAGGAGCCACAGAAATCAGGTGGGGTCATGGAAACTGCTCTGTGGGGATCCTGCTGGCCAGCACCCGTGCCCCGCCCCACCTGCCCTTGGGGTCTGGGTCCTTGGCCTGAGGGGCGCTGGCATGCTTAGGGGCCAGGGGCAGGAAAGCACAGGCCCCTAGGCCCCAGGCATGGAGTAACCCTCACCTAGGGACCCAGGATAAGCCCTGAGAAGAGCACGGGTGGGTGATGGAAGAACGGGGGTTTCCGGCCCAAGCCCCTAGCCTTGATGTTTTGAGGGAAGTGGTGGCTGCTTCCCATGGCTTGGCGGGAACAAAACCTATGGGTGGGGGCTGGCGGTGGACAACTCGGCCCCCCACCCAGAACCCTATTTGCCACTCATTCGCCTGATGAGGTAAAGAAAATCCCATTTGAAAGTGGAAGTAGTTCTGGTGGGCCGGTAACCCCGTTTATTGCTGTGGCCTGTAAGGACGCAGGGCTGGGGGCAGGGTGGGATGGATACCTGAGAAAAGCTGGGCCTGGCCTGTGCTCAGGTATCGGGATCGCCTGCCCCTGGGATCAGTGGGTGGTTGATGGGGCAGGTGGCCAACTCCAGTCAGGCAGGAGGCCTGTAGGCGGTGCAGTGGGCACCCACCACATTGGGACTCCCCTCTCCCGCCACCAGAGGTAGCTGTGTGCCCAGCTCTGTGGGCTCCTGCTGCAGCTCTGGGCAGCAGGTGCCCAGCTGAGGGTCTGGGGACACTCCAGCTGGAACTCCCCACTGTCTGCACTCCTCCCCTGTCCCATAAGTCAGGAAGGCCACACTGGGCACCCACTGCAGGAAAGGCTTGGCCTGGCCTTTCTCTCAGGCACGGAGTGTCTGCGTCCCACCCGCCCTCAGCCCTGCCTGCCCCGCCTGTACAGCAGCACCAGCTCCGAGGACCCTTCCCAGGGGCTTGGCCCATGCAGCTGCGGAGGAGCCTGGGGTCCTGTCTGTCTCCAGAGCAGCTACACATGGGAACCTTCTGGGCCCTCAGCAGGCCTCACCCCACCCGTCTGCCCAAGGCAGTGGTGAGGGGCCACAGTCAGCGCCGACCCTGGAAAAGACCCCTTGGCTGGGCCGGAAGCCCCTGCCTCAAGTTCCTTCAAGTTCCCCTGGTCTCACAGCCCCCCACCCAAATAGTCTATGCTTTAGGATATACATTATATATTAAACATTTCATCTTCAATATAATTTCCCTCTCATAGTGTCGGGAAGATTAAACGAGGAAGGCAGCCTCTGGGTACATACGCCCCCAGTGATGCCCCCCTACCAGGAGGGAAAGGGGCAGTGGGGGAAGAGAAAGACTGATTTCTTTGTTGCTCCTCTTTCTGGGCTAAGCCTCCCTCCCACCTCTAAGCCCGGCTTAGGGCTGGGCCACAAAGGAACGGACGTGGTCACGGGTGGCACTCATGGTGAGGAGGTGCAAGCATTTTCTGGGCCTCGGAAGGGGCACCGAGTCTGTCCAGAGGAGCTGCCTCTGGGTACAGCAGCCCCCTCATCACACAGCCGGAGAGCCACCAAGCAAGGCTGGCGGGGGCAAGTGGTTAATGAACTATCGGATCAAATGGCTGCAGCCTGGAATTGCAAGGAGCATCGGAAATCCTGGAGACACTCAGGTGGGGCAGAGGCTGTGCTGACTTTAACGACATTTCAGCAAATTTCCTTTTCTGAAAACTGCCTGTTACCGTTCTTCCTTTTTTGCACAAGGTGTCTGCCCCTTAAGGTAGAGCCAGTGGCTGTCGGCCTAGTATATGACAAGAATGTCTTTTTTTTTTTTTTTTTTTTTTACTAAATTACATTAGAATTCCTCCAATTTGTGATATTTTTGCGAGCCATATCCGAGAAGCCACGTCTTGCCCTTCCTCTGCCCGCTTCCCCCAGCTGTGAGCCCGTAGCCCGGCCAGTGCACTCAGGGTGGGGACCCGGCTCCTGCCACAGGTGTCCTTTGAGAGACCCACATGTTTATTTCATGGAAGACAGAGTTGGTTACTTCAGGAAGCTCTTTGTGGAGAACGTGGTAGGCACCTTCATATATCTGCAATTAGGAGAAACACAGGAGATCAGGGTGCCCACAGGTGGGGTGGGGTCTCTGGTGGCCTTGAGACTGGGGGACCACAGGCAGGGGTAGGGTCTCCTGTGTCCTCTAGACACAAAGGATGGTGGGCTTGGGGTAAAAGATCCGAGTCTGAATCCTGATCAATCCCTTACGTGAGTTATCTACTCTCTGTGTAACCTAGTGAAAAATGGCACTGGGCCGAGGGCCTCCACACACAGTGTCACAGGGGCGCCAATCCCAAGGACAGGGATGTGCATGGTGCCCCCTGGGGTGTGGCCTGACCAATGGGCCACAAAGGACCATTTTAAGGATCAAAAATCACCGGCCTAGTGTAGTCGGTGCTCAGGAAAGAGTTCTCTATCCCCGTTCCCCTCCCACTGCCCAGCTGGGGGCTTTTCCTAGTCCATCCAGAAAAACAGAAGAGTACATCCCCAGCCCAAAACACCACCTTCCAGCTTGGAAGGCCTCTTGCTTAGTCCCTTAGGCCTCTCACACCCATTATGCCACACAGGCTACAGGCTTGGTCCCTGGCCCCTCCCTCTGCAGGCCCAGCTCTTGCAAAAATCCCCCTCCTCCCTGCAGACAAGACTCTGCTCTGTCCAGCCAGCCCTCGCATGCCCAGAGCCCTTGGGACAGCCGTTGAGAGCTGACGCCCTTCGGTCATGGGCAGGATGAAGCTGAGGACCTTCTTTTTGGTTTTCTCAATACCCAGCTGTGGGTTCATTCCTGACCGTAAAATCTTCTAGCTGTTCTTTCCTTCTTCCCTTCAAGTGCATCCACACAGAATAGTCACAAAGGACTGTGTGCCCTCTGATAATTCATAGATGCCACGTGCTCCTAGCATCTGCCTCCCAATGGGCCAGGCTGGCCCTGCACCCTACTGGGACCTGGCTGATGCACTTGCAGGGCTGCCTCCTTCTGCCGCCCTGGGCAGCAGGGCAGTGGCTGCGCTCACCTTGAGTGTCTTGTCCTGGCTCTTGGCTTGCTCCATGAGCAGGTAGGCTCCCCTGCTATCACACAGGCGGTCTGCAGAGCCCTGGAGCAGCAGGAAAGGCAGGGTCAGCTTGGGGAGGGCTCGCTCCACCCGTGAGACGGCATTGAGCAGCTGGGTGCCGAAGCACACCTTCAGCCCCGCCCGGCAGATCAGTGGGTCCGCGTTGTACAGGTCCACCTGGAAGGCAGGAGAAGGGGTGCCCGTTAGCTCTGGGTGGGGCTTTCCCCACCAGGCCCAGTGGGTTTCCTGGGAGCTTTCCCATCTGTCCTGCCCAGCTGGCTTGGTTGGGCTTGTGGGCAGTGGGGGTACACTGCGGTTGGGAGGCAGGGAGTGCAGTGGGTTAGGGACTGTTGGTTTCCTTTTAAATTGAGTTTCAGTTGCACATGTACTGCAGTTAAGGTTAAAGTCCCTCTGACAGCCCCGTCCCATGTATTCCTAAAGCCCACACTCATGACAGATGACAAGGGCTTCCTCGCTGCCCTCCCGGAAGGTGTCCTTCCACTCGGCCATGCCATTGACTCAGCTTAAGATTGGAAGCACAGAAAGGGGTCAGCAGTCTGACTGGGAAAGCTGTGGCCTTCCCTCCCAAACAAGGCGGGAAAGGGAGTCTCTGATGACAAGCTCTGGGGTCTCCCAGGGGCACTGCTCGGGCCCCAGATGGGGAAGGTGGTCTGCCTGACACCCTGGGCAGGGGAGAAGGTGGGGGCACAGCTAGGGGGCTCTAGGACTCTGTGGAAGGTGTCCGTGAGGTGAGGGGATGCTCGCAGCACCAGGTGTGGGGTGCAGGGTGGGGGGAGTCAAGTTGGCACCCATCTTCTATGTCGGGGGCAGTGTGGTAGGGTGGTCTGCAGGGCTCCCTGAAGATGCGAAGTGGACTCCTGGGCAGCCAGCACTGGGTGCCCACTAGAGATGCCAGCTGCTGGTCAGTGCTGGCTGCCAGCTCAGCTGAGGCCAAGGCCCCAAGCCTACCTTTCCTGGTCCTTCCCCTCCACTTTAGCACCAGAAAGCAAGTGGCGGTGGGGGGGATGAAATTAAAGTTTCCACTAGTCTAGCTGAGCAGCCATGGACTCTGCCCAAGGGGTGGTGAAGAGACAGGAAGGAGAGGTTTGGAGGCTCCATCACCTTCTTGGGCCTCAGTTTCCTCATCTGCAGAACGTGGGTGTTAACAGTACCTTCCTCCCAGGGTCACCACAAACGTTCATTTTATGTAAAGTGCTTGGAACAGCGCCCTGTGAGTGTGCAGAGTGGGCGCCATGCAATAATTGGCTGTTCAGCGTCTCACCATCATCATCATCAGATGGGCCATGGCTGGAAGCAGTGAGTGAAGCAAAATGAAGCCGGTCCCCCCACGTACCCCACGGTGCACGGCTGCTCCAATGGCCTGGGCTGCACTGTTTGGGTGCTTGTCACCCTGATTTTGTTCCATGCCATCTCACATACGCACGGATGCTGTAGGAAACTTCAAGTATGAATCTGTATTTTTTTACATAAAACCATCGTATTATCGACTTTGACTATTCCACTCCACCATGGCTCTGAAGAGGTTTCGGTTCATCATGTGGATTTAGCTTCTTTAAGTCTGTCTCCCCGATACTCCTCTGGGCGGGCGGTGGCTGAGTGGCCCGAATGGAGACGGGACACGGTCACCTGCTGGAGCAGTGGGAGCCTTGTGGGAGTGTGGGTCAGCGTGAGGGTCTGGAACGTCCCTGAGTGGGGCTCTGATCGGTGGTCCCATGTGGAGCACAGTAGAGGGCTGGTCTTGGCCTCTGGGGCTCCAAGCCCGGGCCGCTGGGCCTCTGGGGCAGGAGGCCTGTCTGCAGAGTGCTTGCCCTGACTCTGACGTTCCCGCTGGTGACTCAGAACCTGGCCCAGCCTTCGCAGAGCTGCTCTGGTGTCTGCCCTGCTCTCCCTGCATCTCTGGCTTCACTCCTCCTGCCTCTGTGGGGCAGTTCAGGGGATCATCTGCCCCACAGAATCTGGATGAGAAGTTTCTAGAAGTCTCTCAGGTCCAAATGGGCAGCTGGGAGGCTTCTTGCTCCTTTACCCGCTTCTTTCCTCCTTGACAGGAAGTTACATGTTCGAGGCTGGCAGAGAAGTGCCATGGGTGCTAGGGCTGGGTGGAGGGGGGGAGGGTGGCCAGGAGGGCAAGGACCAGGAGCAGGGATACTGCATGGGTGCTGGGGCTGGGGCTGGGCCGGGTGCAGGAGGCAGGAGGGCACGGACCAGAAGCAGGGATTCTGCAAGGAAACGTGCTCCTGGCTGCCCCATGAGGCTGGGAGGGTGTCACCTGTGCTCTGACCCGGACTTCTCCAAGGTGGGCTGCATCCCCCTTCTGTGACCACCACTACAGGCCTTGGCAAGAATCTGGAATCAAGCCAAGAGGGGCAGGCTGTCCTGGGGCCACCTCCCAGCTGCTATTCCTAAGTCCTCCCCATGCTGGGGACCAAGCACTGCAAACCAGACTGTTTGTGAAAAGCCACACGACAAGGATTAGCAACTTCCTGCAGCTGAGCTGGCGTGACTCCTGCAGGGCAGGCCATCTGCTTGGGGGCTGAGCGGCCAAGGGACTGGCAGGCAGTGCACTGGGCGGTGCACGGCCGAGGCTGCAGGGTGAGGGTGTGCAGGGCCTGCAGGGGCCCTATTTGCGAGGAGGGCTGTAGTGCCCATAAGAGTGTGCCAGATGGGAGTTGGTGAGTCCTGACACTGAGAACAGCAAGAGCAGGAACAACTGCCCCACCATCTGCTGGACACACTCTTGTGCTCTCTTTGCAGGGACTTTACAGGTGGGATCTCACTTAATAAAAATAACAAAGCTAACACTTCTGACCACTACCCATCTCTCAGTTTGTCATACTGTGGTGATTTGCATGTTGCTATGCCATCAGTATTTCAAATACTAGCAGGGTCACCCATGGTGGACAGGTTTCAGTGGAGCTTCCAGACTATGGTAGACTAGGAAGAAAGGTCTGGAGATCTACTTGCAAAAATTAGCCAATGCAAACCCTATGGATCACAACAAAATATCATCTAATATGGTGCTGGAAGATGAGCCTCCTAAGTTGGAAGGCAGTCAAAATACGTGGCGGCTACAACAATGGATTTGGGCATACGAATGATTGTGAAGATGGCGCAGGACCGGGCACTGTTTCGTTCTGCTGTACGTGGGCTGCCATGAGGTGGAGCCTACTCCATGTCAACTGATAACAACAACAACAAACGTTTCTGAGCTCTTCCTCTGTGTTTGACACTAAGTGTTCTGCATGTGATAACTCATTTAAGCTTTATAACCACCCTGAATGAGAAATGGCTATCATAATCCCTGTTTCAGAGATGAGGAAACTGAGGCACAGATAGGTTAATAATCTGCCTAATTCCTGTCCCCTACAGAACCCTTGATGTTTAGTTGGGTGCACCCAAGATGAAGGCTACATATCCGGGCATCCCTTGCAGCTAGGTGTGGCCATGTGACCAAGTCTGCCCAATAAGAAGGAAGCAGAAGTGCTGTGTGCACCATCTGGTCAAGGGCTTCTCCTCCCTTCTCCTCTCCTCTTTCCAGTGGCTGGGACATGCACAGAGTAGGGAGACATTATTTGGGACCACGTGGAAAGGCCAACACTCTGGAAACCCCCTCACACTGAGACACCACTGTCAGAGAAATAAGCTTCTCTCCTGTGAAACCACTGTTATTTTGGATACTGGATGCAGCAGTGGTCTGACTCAGGCCCTGGCTAACAATCTAAAGCGTGTTTCCTCACAGTACTCCTGAGGGACTGGATGACAAATGGACGAGAGGCTTGCCCTGGTGATGAGTCACATGACTGCAGAGAGGGCAGAGCTCCCAGGTCCCCCTTTCACAAAGTGGTCCTGACCGGCCTTGTCTCAGGCGAGTACTGCCCCTCTGGGAGTCTGCTCACAGGTTTAATTGCTCTGACAGCCCAAGAGGATTCCTGATCTTCCCTCCATTTCCCCATCTTGATCACGCAGGTCCGGTTTACACAATGGCCTATTCTGGGCCTGAGAGGGAAGGGAGCGGCCAGATGTTCAGGGGAAAAGGTGGGGCACTAGTGTGTGAACTGCAGCCCGCCGTAGGGAGGGGCAGGGGAGGACTGGGGCCAGCAGATCCGGCTGGATGCACTACAGCACAGAGCCAGGCCTCAGCCTCCTTTCTGCCCAATGCCCTGGCACCGACTACGCCAGATGGGAAAACCGAGGCTCAGCGGGCCCAAACCCTCTCCTCAAAGGGCCATTTTTGCCCAATCACAGCGACCTTTGTTTTCTGAAAGCCTAAGATCTAAACTCTCCAAAAGTCCTCTTTGCCTGTGAGTTCCAGAAATGTGTCCTGTAGTCCAGGAAGGAGAAGGACGGGTCACTCGCCCAGAGCAGGCCCAAGCCCAGAGCACTGGTTAGCAAATGAGCCCATTCAGAACCAAAGACCATCAGGAAAGTGAAAAGACAACCTAAAGAACAGAAGAAAATATTGGCAAATCTTCCAGCTGATAAGGGTCTAGTGCTCAGAATATATGAAGTCCTCCTGAACTCAACAACAAAAAGACAAACTAATCAAAAAATGGGCAAAGGACTTGAATAGACATTTCTCCAACGAAGATGCACAAACGGCCAATAAGCACATGAAAGATGCTCAACATCATTAGTTACTGGGTAATGTAAATCAAAACTACAATAAGATACCACGTCACACCCACTGTTGCTGCCACTGTATGCTGTGGAGTCAGGACAGAGGAAAACTGCCCCATAACATTTCTTAGGCTGTAATGTATACGGAAGCAGATTGCCAGATATTTTCTTCCGTAAAGTCACTGGTGGGTTCGAACCGCAGATCTTTCGGTTAGCAACTGAGCGCTTAACCATTGTGCCACCAGGGCTATTGCCAGATAAACAAAAAATAACAAGTATTGGTGAGGATGTGGAGAAACTGTTACTTTCATGCTCTGCTGGTGGGAATATAAAATGGTGCAGTCAGTTTGAAAAACAGTTTGGTGATTCCTCCATAAATTGAACAGAGTTACCATATTACCCTGCAATTCCACTCCGAGGTATATATCCAAGAGAACTGAAAATGGGTACTCAAACAAATACACCTACTCCTCACTTACTATCTTGTTATCTGACATTTCAGGTCTATGAGAATAGTGAAAAATCTACTCTCTGACTATTTT